AAAAAAAGATATCCTATAATTTTGGGGAAAAGGGAGATGGCTCAGTGGAATAAGCACTTGCCTGGCAAGCACAAGGGCCTGAGTTCAATCCCCGGTTCCGCAAAAAAAAAAAAAAAAAAAAGACACACACAAAAGTAGTAGTACAAATGGCCAATAAATATATGAAAAATGCTCAGGTCATAAGAGAAATGCATAAACTGGACCCTATGGCAATCCATGTTGAGATCCTCAAAACACTAAAAATAAAAATTCCACCCCATCCTGCTACCCCTCTTCTAGGCATATTCTTTAAAGATACTGTATTACAGTAATACATGCATACCCATGTTTACTGCAGCACAAAGAATAGCTAATGTCTAAAAGTGGTGTATATGCTGATCAACAGATAAAGGGATAAAGAAAATATGGTATGTATACATAATGGAGTGCTACTCTGCTATAAAGTAGGCTAAAGTCGAGTCATTTGTAGAGAAATGGATGTACCTCGAGACCATAATGTTAACTGAAATAAGACACACAAAAATATTTCATAACTTCTCTTATATGAGAAGTGTAACTGTAAATCATTTTTAAAAAGCTAAGTAAAATAAGATAACAGGAAACAGGAAGACAGATCTTAGTAAGTGGGGAGAGCTCAGTGATGGAAGAATGAAAAAGGGAGAAAGTGACCAAAATTAGGATGGAAACTGAGACAAGCTACTGGATTTGATAGGGAGGTAGAACTTCAAGGGTTTGGTCACCCATGGACTGAAGGTGAGGCTTTTATGGGTCACTGCACATGCAGTAGAGTTGTAGTCTAACAGTCATGGTCAAATACTTGTCTCTTGTTTTTATCTAGTCTATAGATAAAGCATGTTTTTCACATTACAAGTACTTTAAAAAAAATAGTATGTAACTGGTTAATTTATGGGAACTTTAAACCTAATGGGGCTTTTTTGTTCTGTCTGGATTCTGAGACAGTCTTGCTATGTAGTTCAGGCTGGGCTCCAACTTACTAGGTAGCCCAGATTGGCCTTAAACTCAAAGCGCTTCTCCTGCTTTGCCTCCCAAACGCTGGGATTACAAGCATGTGCCATCACACCTGGCACTAACCTCATGTTTACATAAAACTTTTATTGGTGCAGAGACACATTTATATATTTTCTATGACAAAGGCTAAGTAATTGCAAGAGGTACCACATAAACTGAACACTAAAGTATTTACTACTTTTACTGAGTAATTTTTCCAAACTCTGATTTAAATGACTCATGTCAACAAAGGCAGTGTACCGCAGTACATAGTACGTTATAACTTATGGCCACTTATAAATTATGTGGCTTAACTCAATATAGCTAGCTCAAACAGTCCTGTACCACTTCAAAATATCACGCAGGGGAGCGAAACAGGAGTTCGGCGCTGCATACGTACCTCGTGTCTCGAGTGCAGTGGGCAGCCGTGAGTACCCATCTGTCTCTCACTAGGCTTCCTCCACACACGTGAACGAGAACACGGTCACTCTGAACCTGCAGGCTAACTATCCACGGCCAGGCCCCAGCTGCAGCTTCTGTGCCTCCTACAATCCGAGGCCCTGTCCACACATCTTGGAGAGGTGCTGATCCGCAATCTAAAGATAAAAATAGTATATTACTTGAAATGTGCACCTATATTACCACAGCTGGTACTTCCTAATCTGATAACATTCAATATGAACTTTTAAGTTCCTTACTTTAAAAATTGATGAGTCAAACTGGGTACCAGAGACATGCCTAGATTTTGAAAGAATCTTAGAGGAGTAATAAACATACCATAGTTTATTACTTTCAAATAGGCATCAGCACCGGGTTTTTTGTTTATTTTTTTTCTTTTGGTACTGGGATTGAACTCAAGACCTTGTGCTTGCCAGGCATGCGCTTAGGCCACTGAGGTACATCCCCAGCTCCAGCGGTGTCTAAAAATACTCCCAAAAGTATAAAAGTGCTGTATGTTTTGCAGGAGGTTCATGCCCTGTCCTGTCACAGCAGTTGCGAGGCTGAGGCTGGGGCAGAGTGGGCGGCCAGCCGAGGCCTGGGGCTGATCGGCTTCCAGTCCAGCCCCGGTGAGGGGCGCAGCGGCATCCTGAGCGAGAGGTGGGAGCTGCAAGCGCTAACTCCCGACGACGTGTTAGACGCAACCGTGTTACGAAAGGGTCTCTAACTGCCCTCTCAACTCACCGATGAATTATTAATTTGTACAATGAGAATGATAAACCTCAGACTGTATCGAGTACATACATAGAAATGCATGTCTAACAGACGGCTTAGGTCTGTGACACGTTGGTCACAGGCAGGCGGGACAGGAGACAAGGAAGGAGCCACGCTGACGCCCTTGGGGTCTCGGGAGAGGCGGGGGCTGCAGAGGCGTCCAACGGGTGGGTGAACGGGTACTGCCCTTCGTGGCCGGCCCTTCCGCCGGGGCCGGGTCCTCCTGCCGCCCGCGTGCCGCCTCTCCCAAGAGCAAGCAGTGCTGGACACACAGGAGCATGCTCCCCAAAAGCAGCAGCTCAGGCCTCCGCAGCCTCATGTCCGGTCCGGAGTGAGGGACGCAAGATGGCTGCCGGACGGAGGGCGGGGGCCGATGGGGGCGGGGCCGACGGGGGCGGGGCCGGACGGGGCGGGGCCGGACGGGGCGGGGCGAGTTCCAGGATGAGGGCTATGGCTGGCACCCACTGACCGCGCCACAGCCGGTCAAGTGTGCCACCCTCCACCTGGTCTGCTGCAGGAAGCACAGACAGCAGATGTGGAGTTCCAAGATGATGCGTGCTCAAACACGGAGCACCAGGGAGGTTTCCAAGAGGGGAAGGCAATGCCCAGCCATGCAGGCGCAGAGGTTGGGATTAGAGACCGCAGGACACTGCAGCTTCATTCTCTTAATAGCTTTAGTCTGTCTTGAGTGCATCACCTCTAGGGGAAGTGATAAAATCAGATTTAAGGAGCTGCAGTATGAAATTGAGGGTTGAGTCTGACCGATGATGGTAACTGCATCCTGCCTTGTGCACTTCTGTGCTTGTGTGCCGGGTGGGGGTGGGGGACGCGGGTGTGCGCTCGTGTGTGTATGTGTGTGTGTGTGTGTGTGTGTGT